TTTTTTTTTCAGGATTCTTTAATGAATAGAAAGTTTAAAAGAACATTTATCTAAAACTAAACCTTTTGAGCAAAAAAAATCATGCTTTATGAATAAAAGTATTCATTTTATTTATAAAAAAAAATCTTTTGAACAGTAGTGTACATCAGTCAAGACTTTCATGTGAAGTTTGCACGGTACGAGTCTGTGCACTCAAAGTGTTCAGTATCTGTTTCCCCGAGTCATCCAATTTTGAACATTACATAACTGAAAATAACTATGTACTATTAGCAAATAAATAATATTTTCCACAAGCTATGGCAAAACAAAGACAAATAATCTGTTATTATTTGACAAAAACATTAGAGAACACATGCATACTAAGCGCTAAATCGTGTACAGTAGTCTATAGTGTTTTCTGAAGCTCTGTTGAGCAGTAATCTGTGTGATGGCTGGTGTGGTATGATTCACTGCACAAGCTCAGTACAGACGTGTGTCAGCAACCCTGCTGCAGGGCTAAGTGATTAATTAGTCACAACAGGAGATCTGCGCTGACAGCTCTGCCACGCAGGTCACACCTCTTTCATCTCTATGAACCAGAGGAAGTCAAGGGAGGAAATCAATGGGACTGGTTGTATATACATACCATCGCTTATTCTTTGACTGTCACATCACAGGAGGCAGATTGGACCAGGTTTTGACACTAGCCGCACACACACATCAAACAGCTCGTTATCGGATCCGTTCAGTCTGATTATTTTTTCGTCTGCCTGTGTACTGTACTGTATGTACAGAAAGTTTTAGAATCTTTAGGTGTCTGTTTGTCTTTTGTTATCAGTGGCGAGCGAATCCCAAGTGAGGTTAGTCAGCAGGAAGCAAGACATATTATTAGAGATGACTAAGAAAATGCTGTAAATTAAGACAAAATAATGATGCAACCCTTTAACAATATTTTCTTTTGTTTGCAGAAGGCGGCCAGATAAACAACATGATGCAAACGCACCCGTATCCAGCCCTCAGCCAGCTGTCCCATGTCTATGAGCAACAGCAATCGGCAAAAGCGCTCAACAAATACGCCTCACTGAAGGCTGTGGGTAAGGATGTACACTCAAAAGGATCATTTTTAGCATGTTATAATCTTGTGTGGATCTTTCTTGTGCAAAACTTTTATTCTTCTTATTGAACATAGCATTTACCACAGAATATTTTACAAATGATTAATGAATCCCAGAATGAGAGGCTTTGAGAGGTGTTTTATCACTGGATTTGTATTGAAGGGGAGTCACTGTACTTCATTACAGTTGACCTGCATTCATATTGTATATATAACTGTTTTTCTATTTGAATACATCTTAAAATGTCATTTTTAATAGCCATTGCTCCAGTCTTCAGTGTCACATGATCCTTCGGAAATCATTCTAATATGATGATTGGTGTTCAAAAAACATTTCTTATTATTATCAGTGTTAAAATGCTGTGCTTAAATTTTTATTTTTTTAAAGAACAAAATGTTTTTGAAATATTTGAAATATTTTGAAGCAAGAAATGTCTTTACTGCCATTATTGAGCAATTTAATGTGTCATTATAAAATGAAATGAAATAAAATAAAAACTTACTGACTCCAAACTTAAACAGTGTATATAGTATATACAGGCTACTAAAAAAAACATAACTATGAAAAACTGAAATCAAACCAATACTTTTGCATGAAAAAAAATATTTATTTTTGTATTAACTTGAAATCTTTACAACCCACTTGAATTAAACATGTCATTAGATAGCAATAGCACTAGACTGTGAAATTCTAAATGCATTAAACTATAAAATATTTTAACATTTAAACAAAATAGAAAACTCATTAAAAAACAAAAGAAAATACAATCTAAACTTTTCTAAAGACAGTCAGTTCAGTTCAGACGGTAAACCTCCACCCCCAACTGTATTGCGATTCGTTTACAATCTCAACCGACTTGATTTGTCACATATTTGTATGGATTTTCATCTGTCTCAGGGTGCATCATTACATCCCTATTTATACTGTGAAGTAACTTCAAGCTTCCTTCCTGCCCCAACCAAATGTTTTAATTTCACCTCATCATGAATGACATATACCATATGAGATCATCGAACTAAGAAAAACTCACCCTCTGGCGTCATAGTTATTTTTTCTTATTTAATTACCTCCTCCATGAAAATGATCAAAGGTACAGAATTGTTAGAGCTGATAAGTTCAATACTTCTCTCTCAGTCCCCAAACACATCTCTAAGGTCACAGAATTGGATTTCCACCCGACATAGAGAAGTGGAGCGTCTAATAAAGGCCTGTACCAGAATATCCTCCCACCAAAACCCTTTGAGATCCTGATGGCACTAACTGCATGCGTGGAGTTTGCGAGCCGATAGATATTTGAACTCTGTCTGGGGGCACTAGTTACAAAACCACGATTCATCTTGATTATGGCTCTTGAGGATCTGCACAGTTGAGCACTGTAATTGATTCACCCGTCTGTTGTGATGATCCGTGTATCTGATATAGTGAGCGGCGCAACGGTGGAAAAATGTTCACTGTGCATGACGTCTTCGTCTTCTCCCACAGGGGCAGACGAGTGATAAATAAGATTTATTATCACACCGAAGACCAAACTCATTTTAAGCGTGAAAAGTTTATCTTCAAGGTCGTCAAAGCGGCCGACCATCAAAAGCAGACTGAAGAAGTCACACTAGGATGCCTGGTACTCTAAGAGTAATGATTCCTTTACAAACATGAATCACCTGGTAAAAGGACGCATCTCCCAAAGGAACGTGACAGGCCTAACTGACCACAGATTGAAAACCTTAACTGCTTGTGTGCTAAACTCGTGCGTTCAGTTGCTAATGTTTCTGAAGGAAAGGTGGGTCACTGACCTTACTAGTGCACTGTGTACCAGCTGTTTTTTATTGTGAATAATTCATCTATGCATATGTTTTATCATTATTTCTTTACGACCAATTCAGAGTAGCCGTCACAGTTACATCACTTGCAGCTGCGCGCGCATAGTGGTTACAGAAAAACACTGGGAACAAGTGGAGGTAAATGGGTAAACTTCATGGAATAAAATAAAAAAATATTTTGGCGCCTTTTGATGTCAAGATCGGAATGCAAATAATTTTTATAGAAAACTGTCGTCAAAGATGCCATTTGAAGCTAAACGCAGATGTTTAAATGGACATACTATGGATGAAAACTGTTTGGCAAGTTGTTTTTCCTTATTAGAATTGTGAGATATAATCTCGGAATTGCGAGAATAAAGTCAGAATTTTGAAATATAAAATCAAATGTACCTTTTCGGTATCGGGCCCGATACTGAGCTTCTGTACTCGTACTGGTTAAAATGCCCTGATACCAAACGCCGATACCACACAACATGTGATAAGTGCCACATTCAGACAAAGAAACACTGACAACAGAACAACAGACAGCAGAATGGAGTTATTAGAGATTAAGGATGTTTACGAAGTATATGTATGCAATGAATATAATGTTAAATATTCAGTATTAACGCCAGCTGATGTGTGCAAGCTGATGAGCAAAGCACGCTGACTGGATTGAGA